TACGGGCGTTCCGGAACAATTTGATGGCTCAATCGCGCGCATATTGAATAAATCATCGTGCAAAGTAATTTTCTTACGCGGTTACTCCGTAAACGACCGTAACACGTTGTGCTTGTACGTTCGGAAGACCCTGTAAGCGAGTGTAAGTCTCATATTTTAATAACATAGATAACACGTATCTATTTTGAGGTCCGTCAACAGCTGGAATATTTTGCGGTCGTTTTGTTCGCACCTTGGGCTTACGATAAAAACTGTGTAGGTGTACCGAGACCTCGGCGTTAAATTTAATATTTTTTTCCGCGAAAGCACAACGCAATACTGCGAAATTTCGCGCGACATGTTTTCCAATAGTTTTTGAACGTCCGGTCGACTACGAAACAAAAATAACAATAACGTGGGTCACAGATGCGAAATAACGTTTCGGCTCGGATTATCTTCATCCCGAAATACATAACTCTCAATAAGCTCGTATTCGAGTAGATGTCGATTTTACAGGTGATTGGATCGACGACCTCGGTCCGGAACTCGATATCTCTCTAAGTGCCTTGTCCCGTCTTATTAATACGAGACCCGGGCCCGTAATCTCGTTTTCGATCGTCTATACATACATTGAATTAATACGGAATAATAACGCGATTTTTAAACGCACGTGATGTGGCAACATCGTATTACACGTGTAGGAAAATCCTGAAAAATGAATGAAACAAATTTAAAAAAAAAAAAACAACTGTATTTCTGCAGCCAAACTCGTCTAAAATCGTCAAGACTACTTATACAATATTGCGCATTTGTCCGATCACTTTAGAAATTGCGTGGACACTGTGATCATTTGATACTCAAACGCTATTAGACTTGTGCGATGCGAGGTGGATTTTTAAAGTACTCTCTGGTCTCAGATTTCGTAACGTACGCGTGCGAATTGTACGGACTTTCCGCGTAATGATAAATTGCAATATTACAAAAAAAAAACTCAATTTTCTCTTTTTTAACCATATAGAAGATAAAATACTTTTTTTTTTAACTGATGCGCTAATGCACAAACTCTCGGTCAAATTTTAATAATGGGCACGGATACCGTTTACCAATTCCATATTTAATTTGAGCCTTAAATCAAACGTCTAAAGTTGTGTCAATATTTTTATTGATTTTTAACTGGCAAAATCTAGAATAAGGACATTTTAAAAAATGTGTTTTATATGAATTGTGAGATCATATATTATATTTTCTTTTTACGAACACTTGTAGGCAAATATTAACGGTTAAAAAGTGGACGTTTTAAAGTGAAGATTCTGAGTGTAGCAAAAAATGTATTGGTTTTACTAAGATGTTAATTTTTTTTATTTTTTTTTTATTTTATACTGTATACAAAAATTCGGCCAGAAATCTTGCTCAAATATTTACGCGTGGTACCATTTCTGAAAGGAAATGTTGTTCAGATGGTAGTTTTGGGAAGTCATTTTTTTGGTTTTTTATCCGGTTTTCATGATATCTGAGAAAACTAGGATAAAACGTAAGAAAAACAGGAAATACACGAAAGTAATGTTTTTATAATTTTTCAATAATATTATTTGTTGTAGTTCAGTTAAAAATATTCGTAGAGACTTGAAATTTGAACAGAAAACTTATATTTGTCTTTCCTAGTTGTTGTAAAATTTCCAAAAAATGTAAGCCATTTTTGAGCTATTTATAGACACTTAAATTTTGCGAAGTTTGTACGTAATTTTTATTCGGTAGGTACTCTTTGGTATAAAACTAAGTTAGATTTAATAGAAATACTTGAAAATTTAAAATTTAATAAGGTTCATTAGGAGTCTTTCCTTGTCAAAAAAAGGAAATTTGAGTTTAATGTAGTATTCTTTTTAAAGGGGAATTTCAATATCAAATTTTAACAAAAATCGTTGAGTAAAAATTATGTGGAACAAATCTAATTTTACAATTTTTTTTTTTTTTTTTTTGTACATATGTATAATATCAATTTAAGAACGATGGGGAATTCAGAATTGAACGGGTTGACTAAGTTCTAAAGTATATTTGTCGTAGCTGAATGGTTATACATACCTATTTTCATCCTAGAGTTGCCGAGTTGTCGAACCTATGTTTCAAAAAAAAATTGTTTGCATTTTGAGTATACCTAGAGATCCAAGCCGTTGCTCACTTGGACTATTTTAATCACAAAATACCCCTCGATTTGTTGTGTAAACTTTTCTACTAAGAATCTTGCTCTGATGTATCAAGTGTAGTTTATTTTCTAAAAGGAAATTTAATCTCTATGGTAACTTGAGGTAGTTTTTTGATTTTCCCAATAAATGGGAAAATCGTGAAAAACAGAGAAAAACGGAAAAATATACAAAATATATTAGTAAAATATTACGATTTTTTTTCTATAGATAACTTTTAAAGCGATTTACAATGATAATACTTTTTCTAAAATGAAATCTGACTATCTGAAGTACTATAGAGAGGTAATTTTTCTATTTTCCCAAGAGTATTCCCAGCAAATGTAAAAAAACCGGGAAAAAACATGGGAAAACCGAGTAAAACGAAGAAATCGGTCAGTATTAAACAAATATTATTAAAAATTATATACAATGCCTATTTAATTATTTTACTATAATATGACATACATATTGTTGACAAAGCATCACTATCAACTGAACTGCGCTCAGAATCCTTTTTTCGTTAGCAATGGTTTATCGTTGCTTATAAATATACGTTAAATTACTGTTTTTGTTTATTTTTTTTCTATTACTATATTGTATTATTTTTTTACTGACAAAACGCGTCACATCTGCTAGAACAAATAATAAAATGAGACGTCGTCTCCGTGGAACGACGACAGCTGCTGTACCCAGTGGAAGACGCCCAAAAGTGTTTCGCGGAGATGAAAGTAAAAATATATAATCGTCGTGAAACAATATGATGAAATATTAACAGCTTCGCCAGAGTGTATTATATGCACACAGAGATATTACGTATTATACCGAAATCGACCGGCAGCAGTAATAATAACAAATATACCGGACTTGGCGACGTCCCGTGTCCATTGACTCGCGGATACGATTTAGAATCCGTTTGGAAAACAATACGGTATCGTTCTTAAATATTTTGCGCCAAAACGCACCGTTTTGAACGCAACGAAGAGTCGCACGAAAATCGTTTTCCTCCGCCGCGAAGTCGGGTAGCGCATTAACGTTTCCTACATGAAACTAACCACAGACACGAATAAAATCCCTCAGATTGTCGGGTATTCGTATATGGTTGTTCATCACAAATCTAAAACGCGTATTCTGCCGGTAACATAATTTCAATGATAACATGTAATAACAATAAACGCGCGTTATTCTATTTTATCAAATGTTTTTCGCTGTTGATCCAAACCTGATACTGGCGGACATGCGGGCCCCTGGGTCGTGCGTGGCCGTTGCAGCGTGAAAGGCGGCCGACCGTTTTTCCGTTTTCGGGTTGCACAGCGGGGTTTACAACTCGAATACATGTACCAATTGAGATATTTATTTTATTTTTTTTTTTTTTTTTTTAACATTTTGAATTTAGTAGATACTTTGGACAAATACATTTTTGAAATGTATACCAAGCCCTTTTCATAATAATTGGGAAACATTTAAAATCTCTTACCAGGAAATCAGAATCAGACGGTCAAGTCGTCTTATTGAGACACGCCATTAGAGCAGTGACGTGGCGAGAGATATTTGATTTTTACGACAGTAAAATTATCTTGTGCTCGTCCCCGAAAAAATTAGTTCAAAATCCAAGAAGAGCAAACACTATTTCATTTCATTTTGAAAAAAAAAACATATATTATAATAGTATTATGTAAATGTACAATTGTTTCAAATGATAGGCCATAATTTATTAATCTCGGGCATTACCTATGCTCGCCACGCTACCAACTTCACTCCATACTGCTCCAATATTATTTAGCCCCTGAAAAACCGCCACGGGTTTAAATAAAACAGGAGAAAAAAAGGAGGAAAAACCTAACATACGTATTTGGTCTGTGGTCGTAGGATTCTAAGTCGACCGCATTGATTGTACCGTACGTTAAGAAGAACGCGGTTTAGGGACACGATTAAATCGTGTAGACGGACTTTCGTTGTTTGTATAGCGCCATAAGAACAACGTATCATGCACTTTTTACTAAATGTCCAACAATTTTTTAATAGTCGCAAAAAATATAATCTTCATGAAACCAAATTAAAACTAAACAAATTCGGAAATTTAAAATATTTAAATAGTAGAAATATATGACTCAAAAACGTTAGAATGTTTTTAAAATATTACACAGTGTCTAGAAAATGTCAATATAAAATAAATTCGTCGAAATTGCATCATCTCCATGGACACCATAAATAACGATATGTGATAAGTGTGATTTTCACTTAAACCTAACCGATTACATATGATCTATCCGGAATATAATGTATTTGTATTACTATGCATGCAAAGATGATAATTACCTATGATTTTTGACTTTTTGATATTATATATATTTTAAATTCGAATCGAAGCTATTTTATGTGTGTCTGTAAACAACTTATCAACTACAAATTTTACTCCAATCGACAACGTTATAGGAACGTTTCTTGTAGCATATTTGATCTAGTTGATACGTTAATAATAATAACAGTTCGAAAAAAAACTGGAAACTTTTGTTGATTTCTTGGTTACCTTGACAACAAGGGAAAATATACCAACAAAAATACTTTGCTTAAATTCGTTTTAGTTAGCAGTTATTTGTAATTGCACACATGTATACATTAAATTATTCTATATAAGAGTAATTATTATAAGTAATATTAACTATACAAAATATTTATTAATATTAATTATATGCAATTATGGATATAGTGAAGGATTTCTTTATTACATTGTCAAAATTTAAATGGAAATAAACTAACAAAATCAATGAACATTTTTAACTATTAACAATCCGGGCAATACCGAATATCTTTTGGAGATACACCAACGCCAATACAATAAATTTACCTACCATTTGGATTATACTTATTCAAAACATATTTAATTTTCATTAGTTTTGATTTGCCTTTTTGTGGCTTTGCAGGTTGTTTCCGTTTTTGTATATTTACCGAAACACCCGGTAATTGCGGTTCATCAATATTATTATAACTGGTACCTTCTCCTTTTTCACGTGGTTTTAAATTCTGCTTTAAAGTACCATTTAATGACGCAATATTTTTAGAACATGTTTGTACGTGTGCAATTCTTGTTTTTCTTTTTATTTGGGGCCATTGGTCAACTTCATTTTGGGTTTGTTTTTCATCGCACGCAATTTTCGTCTTTTTTGGTGGGTTTATACAAGAATCTTGTTTACGTGCAATTCTATTTTGCTTTGTCATCATTTGAAAAATATTCTTCATCACTTCGTCTTCATCACAGGACGTGTTCATCTCTTCAAGCTGGTTTTTATTTTGTTGCAAGATATCATTATTTGATGGCATAACGTTTTTCGAAGAATCTTGTTTATGTACAGTTATTTTTTGTTTTTTCATTGTTTGAAGAAATATCTCTTCTTTATCACAAACATTTTTCCTTTTTTCAGGTTGACTCAAAGATACATTTTTTTGATGTGCAAATCTCTTGTGTTTTATTTTTATTTGAGGAAGTTCGTCAACTTTATAATTTATTTGGGAAAGTTCGTCGACTTCCTCATTTACTTTATCTTTGTCACAAGGAATTATCCACTTATTTAATAGTATTTTAGGCTCATCTATAACTTTACAAACCTTTATACGTAGTTCATTATTATCATTAAGATCAATATGTTCTTGGTTTGAACAAAAAACGTTTTCTAAGTAATTCAAATTCAATTTTAATCTTTCGGCAACCACTTGAGAAGATCCGACTTCTAGAGTCGCAAATTGGTGATTGTTGAGTATATGCAATGCTAATTCTCTACCGTTTACTGTATTGAATGTCACATTGTGGCAGTATAAACAGGTCGAACGCATTTTTCTAT